GGAGAGGAAGAGGAAGAGGAGAGAAGAGAGTGAAAGGAAAATAAGGTTATGGTGGTAATTAAAGTAGCATTCAGCCATTGGCAGAATTTTATGGGAGAATATATACAAATTATAAATAAAAAAACTCAGATTAGCAAAGTTCAATTAAATCGAATAAAATAATTTATAATATAATATAATATATATATATATATATATATATATATAGGAAAAAATCCTTATTTTTAGGGAAACTACCAGTTATATCCATTTATAAGTAGCTCATTACAAAAATTGGTCAATTCCTAAAATATTACTAATATTAGCCAAATATTACTAATATTACCCAATTAGCTATTTGTAGCAGAAAAAATTAATTTTTTGCTTTCTTTTGAGTGGGTGCTATTAGAATAGATTGGGCATATCTTAAGGAGCTTGAATCTCAGTTTTGGGATGATTTGGTGAAGTTTTGAGATGGTTTGAATTGAAAATTCGAAATAAAAACTGAATATGAAAAAAATGATATGTGTATCACATTGTGTATCATTTGTGTATCATATATGTATCATATTTGTATTAATTGGGTATCACATGTATATCCATGTATACCTGTGTGTGAGATACATGTTTGATACATGTGTCGCAGAAGAAATTTTTGAACTCGATTTAATTACGATTTTTGATACAAAACCAGTCCAAATCACCTCCAATCTTCCTCAAAATTTGTATATTGACTTATCTATATGTTTTCAATGAATTTCAACTATAACCATTAAAAAAAATTCTTTTTTTGTTTAGATTTTTGGAATATTGTATATTTTTTTGTTGTATTTCATCACCTTATTTGCTACCTCATCCATGAAATTTCCTTTCCGTCTTGCATCTAGTGTTGCTAATCACGCTTAAAATATACGGAAGATAATTTTTGCATGTGATTCTTTGAGAGAAAGAACCTTATTTATTTGGTTTTTCAATTTTTATATATATTTGGTTAATTTTGATAAATCTATGACTAATGACTAGAGATTGGTAAGTTAAAATTTATTTGGAACATTTGTGTAAGTTTCCCTATTTTTTAACCTCATTGAATGTAAACAGGCAGCTTCCAGTTTTGTAGTTTAGCTACTAAGGACAATTTGGACTTGTGGGCTCAAATTGGTATCGACACTGTACGTTTGGGCCGAATAATGACCCTATTCATATTGGACGAAATTCAAAAATAGCCAAATTTACAATTGGTAATTGAAAAATAACTACAATTTTAAAAATAATGAAAATTTAATTATTGTTCATGTAAAGATACATCTGAACAAAACATTGTTACAAATCCGGAAATTTTCCAGCATAATATGCTGGAGTTCGAATTTTTTACATATGAATTTCCAACATAATATGTCGTAATTTTATAATGTGTTGGAGTTTCATCATAATATGCTAGAAGTTTATATGTAGGAGCTCCATAATTTAGCATATTATCCTGGAACTTTATGTGTGATAGAGTTCTAACATAATATGCTGGAAGTTTATACGCAAGAGCTCCATAATCCAGCATATTATGCACAGAGACATTAATCTTTCTGCAGGAAAAAGAAATATTGCAGGACCAAAAAATGAAGATCATCACAACAAAAGCCAAATAAACGAAGTTTTTTTTTTTTAATATATATGAGCCAATCAATTTGTCCAACAATAACAACTATTACGGCTCGGACAAATTTTAATGAATCCTTACTCTAATTCTCCCCATGAAAAAAAATAAAACAGGAGTCAATATCAAGCAAAGATTAAAATTGCTACCATACAATTAAACCCAAGGCTCAGTAGCATTTGAGCCCGTGGTCTGTGCTGGAGAATCAGCCGCCGCAAGTTCACGAAATTTAACGAAGAAATACCCCAAACCATGGCCTAAGATTGCAACAATGAAAATTCCAACGTTGAAGGACATAACAGCAAGCATAACAAAATAAACAAGAACCATTCGAACAGTATAGTAAATCGAATTCAGAATCAGTCCACCAACTATGGTATTCATACTCTTCTTGATTATCAGGTCCATCGACAAAATCTCAACAGCAAAGGCCATAAAGAAAACAAAGAACAAAGACAATATGTACATGCCTAGGTTATTGTCTGGCCAACCTTTGAATAAAATCGTCGCGTTTTTCCCCCAATAGAAATTCATCTGCATGACCATGTTGCCCATGTTCATCATCATCATAGTATCATTGCCATTGGACATAGGCTTATTATGCATGTCCATATTTTCATGGTCGTGTGTGTGAGACATTTTGAGAAAGTAGAATGATCGGAGTTAGGACAGTTACTTGGGAGAAATCACACACAAAGATGAATTGTTTGATTTTAGGAGTTGTGAGTATTTAAATTTATTTGTGCGAATCATTGTTAGAGTGGGGGAAAAACAAAGATGAAAATGACTATGTTACTTTGTTGTATGTTAATTTGGAATGCGCAAGGGAGAATATATTATTTGCTGGAGCCAGCCCAAATGTCAGAGAGAGACAACAACGTCCGTTATCTTTGGTTGTTGAGATGTTAATTTTGGATAAGAATCTGCATCGTTTGAATGAGTTACAGATAGACAACAGTGTCCAATTGAAGTAAATAGTTCCTCCGTCCACTTTAATTAATTTTTTGGCGGTTTTCACACATATTAAGAAATTCATATTTTAATATTAATTAACAATGAAATTGACAATATTAGCCTTAATTTATGTTAGGTGTTTGTCCAGATTTTTTTATCATTGTCACGACCCAAGTTCGTCCTCCGTGAATTGTCGTGACGATACCTAGTCTCTACGACTAGGTAATCCTAACAATTACGGGAAAAAAGAAACAAAATGCGGAAAAACTAATAAAAACTGAAGATAAGCAAATATAGAAACGTTTAAGATGCCGCTCGGCATATACTAATACAAGATCTCAAAAACTGAACAACTTTCCAAAACCCGGAATCTCATGAAATCACAAGCTATGAATACTAAATTGTGCTCTAACTCCAAAATGTCTAAATCAAGATAAATACAGAAGGACTAAAACTATAAGAGAGGATGGAAAGGGACTCCTCGGTCTGCGGACGCGGCAGATATACCTCGAAGTCTCTAGAGAATCAAAGGTAGTAAGGCTGAGCCGAAGAACCTGGATCTGCACATGAAAAACATGCGCAGAAAGGGCATGGACACCACAGCGGTACTCAGTAAGTGCCAAGCCTAACCTCGGTTGAGTAGTGACGAGGAAGGTATTTCAGAATCGGTATCTTTGGAAGATGCCCTCAGTATTTCCAGGTCGGAACTGACTGGGGAGAGGGAAGCCTCTGGTCGTCAAGTTGCAGGGCTCGAAGGGCGTGTTAAAGAGCTAGAGGCGGAGTTGGTCGCATTGAAGGGACAAATGGCCTCGCTGAGGGCGGAAGAGGCGAGTCGACGTTCTCGGCCTTCTTCGTCTCGTGCCTTAGCTGATCCGGTCGTGCCCCACCGTTTGTATGAGTTATGGGTCCATGCGGAGGCTCGGCTTGATGCGTATAAGGCTTTTCACGCCGAGGTAAGGGCTACTGAGCGGAGGTTCAGGCTGTACACGCCGAAGCTCGTGCAGCTCATGAGTCATACGGGTACGACCCCCTCTTACCTGACGGGGATGGCACCAACTCTGAAGACGTGAATCATCTTGCTTCAGATTCGTGGTATGAAGATGCTTACCCCGCTGGGGATGATGTGTAGTCTTTGTTTGTATTTACTTTTGTTTAGGGATTTTTGCACGTGTCGTGCTTGGGCCTGTTTGTAGGGGCAAATATAAATGATATTTTGTTGTAATGTAAAATTTACTTTTGTCAGCTTGTTTTATTTTTTTCACTTATCGCGCACATGATATTGTTAACGCACTTGGCTATTGGGATGTTGCTTCGACCTGTCGTCGAAGTAGAATCCCGTCGTAGTTCGAAACGAGGTCGAACTTATATTGTCGTCAATAGCCTTGGCCATTGGGATGTTGCTTCGAATTGTCATCAAAATAGAGTCCAATCGTGGTTCGAACGAGGTCAAACTTATATTGTCATCGATGGCCTTGGCCATTGGGATGTTGCTTCGACCTATCGTCGAAGTAGAATCCCGTTGTAGTTCGAAACGAGGTCGAACTTATATTGTCGTCGATGGCCTTGGCCATTGGGATGTTGCTTCGAATTGTCGTCGAAGTAGAGTCCCATCGTGGTTCGAACGAGGTCAAACTTATATTGTCATCGATGGTGTTGGCCGTTGGGGTGTTGCTTCGAACTGTCGTCGAATAGAGTCCCGTCGTGTTTCGAACAAGGTTGAATTTATATTGTAGTCGATGGCCTTGGCCATTGGGATGTTGCTTCGAACTGTCGTCGAAGTAGAGTCTTGTCGTTGTTCGAACGAGGTCAAACTTAGCCTTGTCATAGATGGCCTTGGACATTGGGATGTTGCTTCGAACTGTCGTCGAAGTAGAGTCCTGTCGTGGTTCGAACGAGGTTGAACTTATATTTTTTTGGAGATTTGATCATGTTCCCGTAGGAAGACGTCACATGCCGACTAGTGGAGATCTGGTTCTGCACATATAATAGACATCTGATTCCGTTCATACAATGGAGATTTGATTTCGTACATATAATGGAGATTTGATTCCGTACATACAATGGGGATTTGATTATCTATGTGTAGTCCCTTCATTACTTCGATCCGGATGTCATATCAACGGGTCGCGGTAATGAATAGCATGACGATTCATAAGGCGTCCCCCTTGCCCCTCGTTAAAAACCTCCCCGGGAAAACCCGATTGGGACAAAACCCGAGTAAGGGAAAAAGAGTACAACTTAGGTAAAGCCTTCTTTTAGAAGTGAAAGTACTTGAGATGGGCGACGTTCCAATTGTTTTGGAGTAATTTTCCTTCCATTGTTTCTAGCTAGAACGCTCCTTTATTTGTTGCTGCTACTATTTTTTATGGTCTGTCCTAGGTCGTCCCCAATTTTCTTTCATTTGAGTCTTTTGACGCTTGTGTTTTGGCCTTGAGGATGTAGTCGCCAACTTTGAGTAGTCGCACCTTGGCTTTCTTGTTGTAGTATCTTTCTACTTGCTGCTTTTGGCTACCATTCTTATGTGAGCCATGTCTCTTCGTTCTTCAACTTTATCCAGATCTTGTAGTCTACTTTCATCATTGCCCGTTCCGCTCTCGCTGGAGTGTCTCAAGCTGGGCTCCCCGACCTCAACGGATATAACTGCATCGGTCCCGTAAACCAGTGAATATGGCATTTTTCCTGTGCTAGTTTTTGGCGTAGTGCGGTATGCCCATAATACTTCTGGTAGTAGTTCAGGCCATAGCCATTTAGCTTCCTCAAGTTTCTTTTTCAATATGTTAAATATTACTTTATTGGAGGATTCGGTTTGACCATTGGCGGTAGGGTGGTATGGTGTGGAGAGTATCCGTTTGATGTACCATTTTTCGAAAAACTCAGTCGTTCTATTCCCGACGAACTGAGGTCCGTTGTTGCAACTTATTTCTTTGGGGATGCCAAAATGACATATAATGTTTTTCCATATGAAGGCGATGACCTCCTGCTCGCATATCTGAGTGTATGCACCTGTTTCCACCCATTTAGAGAAGTAATTAGTTAAAACCAAAAGGAAGCGTACCTTACCTCGTCCTGCTGTGAGGGGGCCGACTATGTCCATTCCCCACTTTATAAATGGCCACAGCAAAGTGACGGAATGAAGGAGTTCCCTTGCTTGGTGTATCATAGAGGCGTACTTTTGATATTGTTCACATCTCCTGACATAGTCGGCGACTTCTTTTTTCATGGTGGGCCAGTAGTATCCGGCGCGAATGAGGCATCTGACAAGGGCACGGTTTCTCATGTGGGTGTCACAGTGTCCTTCGTGTACTTCTTCTAGTACTCGCCTTGTTTGATGTGGCCCAAGGCATTTAGCTAGGGGACCGCCGAACGTTCTTTTGTAGAGCTCGCCGTTTACTAGGTTGTACCGGGCTGCCTATATACTGAGTTTTTTGGCTTCTTTTTTGTCTTGCGGGAGCGTTCCATCCTGCAAATAGGATACGAAGCGGTTACGCCAGTCCCAAGATAAGTTTATAGAATGTACCTCGACGTGGTCTATTGCGGAATTAAGTAGGGTGACCATGTTTTCTTTGTTGATATTCTTGGTGGCCATAGCCAGTTTAACGAGGCCATCTGCTTCAATATTTTGCGCCCTGGGTATTTGGTCGAGGCGACATTCATCGAATTCTGGTAGTAGTTTGTGGATTTCTGACTGGTATCTTTGTAGCCTCTGTTATTTGATTTGGAAAGTCCTGGTGACCTGATTCATCATAAGTTGGGAGTCACAGTGGAGGATGAGTTGTCGAGCGCCATATTTGAGGGCTAACTTCAAACCTACAATCACAGCTTCATACTCGGCCTCGTTGTTAGTCATCTCGGGGCATCGTATGGACTAGCGAATTACTTCGCCTGTAGGGACCTCGAGGATGACTCCCAGTCCCTATCCCGAGGCATTAGAGGCACCATCGGTGTAGAGGACCCAAAGGTTGGTGTTTGTAGAAGTGCGGAGTGCTTCCTGTTCTACCTCGGGCACTATTTCCATCCTGAAATCAGCGATGAAGTCTGCAAGCACCTGCGACTTGATAGCAGTTCGCGGTTGGTACGTTATGTCGTGCTCGCTTAGTTCTATGGCCCATTTGGCTAGTCTACCCTATAGTTCGGGTTTATGGAGGATACCCCTTAGGGGGAGGGTTGTCACCACTTTTATGGGGTGACATTGGAAGTATGGTCTAAGCTTCCGCGAAGCTATGACCAATGCCAGAGCCAGTTTTTCGAGGTGAGGGTACCTCGTATAGGCATCGATTAAAGTTTTGCTGATATAGTAAATCGGAGATTGCGTACCTTTATTTTTACGGACCAACACCATGCTTATCGCAACTTCGGAAACCGCTAAATACATAAGTAGGCATTCACCGGGTCCGCTTTGACGAGCAGTGGTAGCAAGGATAGATACGTCTTCAGCTTTCTCAGGGCGTCGATACATTCATCATTCCGTTGTAACCCGTGATCTTTCCTAAGTACATTGAAAAATTTATGGCATCTATTTGAGGATCGTGAAATGAACCTTGATAGGGCGGCTATTCGTCCTGTCAATTTCACCTGTTTTTTGTTGGTCAGTATTTTTGGTATTGCATCGATGGCCTTGATTTGGTCCGGGTTGACCTCGATTCCCCTTTATGACACTAGGAAACCAAGGAACTTTCCAGAAGTCACGCCGAAGGCGCACTTTTCGGGATTCAGTTTCATTCTGTACTGCCTTAGTATTTCGAAGGCATCCTTCAGATGATCAATGTGA